GTTCTTTCTCATGCTTGGCTCAAGAGTAAAGGTTTCACCAGGCTGAGCAAATATAAAAACTAGCTGGGTATTGTGGTGGGCACTGGCCATCCCAGCTACTCAGGAGGCTGAGGCAAGAGGATCACTTGAGCTCAAGAGTTTGAGGTTGCTGTGAGCCAGGATGCTATAGCATTCTACCCAGGGTGACAGAGTGAGACTCTGTCTAAAAAAAAAACAACGGCTCAGCGCCTATAGCTCAACTGGCTAAGGCGCCAGCCACGTACACCTAAGGTGGTGGGTTCGAATCCCCAGCCCGGACCCGCCAAACAACAATGACGGCTGCAACCAAAAAATAGCCGGGCGTTGTGGCGGGCGCCTGTGGTCCCAGCTACTTGGGAGGCGGAGGCAGGAGACTCGCTTGAGCCCAGGAGTTGGAGGTTGCTGTGAGCTGTAATGCCACGGCACTCTACCCAGGGGGACAGCTTGAGGCTCTGTCTCAAAAAAAAAAAAAAAAAAAAAAAAAAAAACCCCAAAGGTTTCCATTTAGATCTCAAAAAGTCTTGCTGCCACATGACCCAGAAATTCTACTTCTGGGTATAACATGTATACTCCAAAGAATTGAAAGCAAGGACTTTCAGTTCACACATTCACAGCAGGATTATTCACAACAGACAAAAGGTAAAAGTAACCCAGATGTCCAATAGATGGGGAGATAAACAGAAGGGGGTATCTTTACAAGTATACCAAGGAATATTAATGCTGTCTTTAGTAAGGAAATTCTGTCACATGCACAGATGAACCTTGAGGACATTTATGCTAAATGAAATAACAGACCCCAGAGAACAAAATACTGGATGAGTTCACTTATACAAGGTACCTAGAGTAGTCAAATTCACAGAGATAGAAACTAGAAAGGTAGTTTCTAGGCAATAGAGGTGGTGGCAGGAAATGGGGAATTGGTGTTCAATGGGTACCATTTCAGTTTGGGATGATGAGAACATTCTGGAGATGAATGGTGATTGTACCATTAGTACAATGTCCCTCTAGACTCGGATGGGTTGCTTTCAGGTAACTGACATAAAAGGTAACCCCTTTTCCAACACTACTTATGCTTCATATTATAGTATTTGTTCAGCAACATGAAGCTCTATTTTGTATATTTCAGGTTAATCATAAATTAGCCATGTTTCGTATATTACATTGACTAGTCTACCTTTTTTAGACAGCAATTGCACAATTACTAACTGGATTAGCTTTCAAACATACTTTTGGTTAAAAATAGACTGAAATCTAAAAATCTAAGTTTATTTTACAAGTTTATAGGAAGTGAAAAGTTTTTGTTTGTTTTTAAGAGACAAAGGTCTCACTCTGGTGCCCAGGCTAGAGTGGAGTGGCATGATCATAGCTCACTACAATCTCCAACTCTGGGCTCCCACAATCCTCCTGCCTCAGCCTCCCAAGTAGCTGGGGCTACAGGTGCCCCCCCATCACAATGGACAGCTAATTTGTATTGTTGTTGTCATTGATGCTTTATTATGTACATATTTAAATATTAGGTTTTTTTAAAATAGTGAGTGGCTTGTGTACATTTTAACAACTTTTTTTTTTTTTTTTAGTTTCAAACCATTAAGTGGGTAGAGATGTTTTTATTACATGTTGGCTAATTTTTTAAATTTTTTTGTAGAAAGGTCTCACCGTGTTGCCCAGGCCAGACTTGAACTCCTACCTTGTGGAATGTGGAAAACATATCCGTACCTCAATGTGTAACTCCCATAGCGCTGGGATTACAGACCTGAGCCACCACATATGGCAGGCAAACTTTTTTTTAATCTTTCTGCATCACAGCAGTGGCCAGGCTGACTTGGGTAGAAGCTGATGGGATATGTACCTTGGCACTTCCTGACAGGCTGGTCCTGAACTTCTGCCTCCATCCTGTCCTTTCATCTGGTCTCTCTTTCTCAGTTCTTGTACCTGCCACAGATCGGGAGCGCTCCTGAGTGTCGCAGTCCTCACAACTGGGCTTTTTTCCTCCTCGCACAGCTTTCCAAGTGCTCTGAGCATCTCCTTTCTCTTACAGCCCTCTTGGCCAGTCTGGCTCCTGTCCACCCCCAGGCACGGTGGGAAGGGGGCCCTACTAGGGAACTTATCGCTCTAGTGCAGCCTGCACAGACCTCTTAGATTTCCCAGCGCTCTTCCCTGCCCACGCATGGGGGTGGCTCACCTCTGGGTCTTAAGTCTGGCAGGGCCTAGAGACAGCTGAACTGCTGGGCTCCATGCCTAGCTTGGTGAGACCTCCCAGCTGGAGCAGTCCCTCCCCTGACTCCCAGCCAGACCTCCTCTCCCAGGCCCCTACACTGCACTATCTATTTGCACAGTCTGATCCCAGGGCTCAGAACTCCTCCTTGCCTGCACCATCCTGGACCTTGGCTCTGGGAAGCGAGACAGGTAGAGCCACGGTGCAGGGAAGACAGTGCCTCTCTGGGAAGTGGGGCTGGGCTGGGGTGGACATCAGGTGAAGGCGTTCTGCAGAGGCAGGAAGGAGCCTGGCTATGCTGTGCACTTCCCTCCAGCCCTCAGCCTGAGGCGGCAGCATCTCCTCCTGCTCGGGTCTAACTGGTCTCTTTCCCTCAGCTCCTGCCAGGGGTCTTGTCTGCATCACACTGTGGCCCCCAGTTGTGTAACTCCTAGAATGGTGACTGAGATGTTCTGTATGGGTATGGTTTATGTCCCCCACCAACTCCCAGTGAAAGTCTTCAATTGCTCATGCACTTTTAAACTTAGCCCAGGCTTGTGTTATATGCTCAATAATTCCCGATGTAAAGCCTTTAAAGCCGTATCATCCCTTCCAAGAACTTAGAACCTGGCAATTTGCTAAATGGTTTATATGAATTATCACATTGTGTCTTGAACATAATGCTGTGAAGTTGGCAATATCATCATCCCTTATTACAGGTGAGGAAACTGAGGCCAGAGAAAAAGCTGAAGGCCAGGATTTGAACCAAGGCCAGCCCCCAGCACATGGGGCCTCCTTTTGATGGGAGTACTGACTCATGCACCCCTAGCCAGTCCCACAGCCCAGGCTGCTGCTTTACAGCTCAGAATATTCAGAAGAGAAGGACAGGAGGAGAGTATTCACTTACTCTGTAAATAAGTAAAACGAACAAGTGTGTGCCCGTTGTACACTGGTCATGGAGATCTAAAACACCCTGTCTGGTTCATATCCCCACATAACTTTCCTTCCCCTGGAAGCCCCATCTCACCCTTCTTTGCCTTCTGAATGATGGACCCACTCTCAAGACTCAGCCACAGTGTCTTCTCCAAGAAGGATCTCACCTTCATTTCTATTGGCACTTGGTTAGGGCTCCAGAGATGGGTGTTTTTGACTTAATGTGGCCCTTACAATTCTGTACACTCCCCTATCTCCAGCTTTGGAGCTAGAGAAATTTAGGGACTCAGAGTAGGAGTTAAATTTGTGTTTAGAAGGTTTTGTGCACGTGTATCCTGCTTTAACATATAGATGAATTTCAGAAAGGTTATAGATACATAGACATTTTATGAATTAAAATTCTATTTTCTCATAGATGTATGTTTCAGAGATGTCTTATCTTAGTATAAATTGCTATTAAAATTCACTTTTTAAGGCTCGGCACCTGTGGCTCAAGTGGCTAAGGCTCCAGCCACATACACCTAAGGTGGTGGGTTTGAATCCAACCCAGGCCCGCCAAACAACAATGATGGCTGCAACCAAAAAAAATAGCCAGGCGTTGTGGCAAGCTCCTGTGGTCCCAGCTACTTGAGAGGCTGAGGCAGGAGACTCGCTTGAACCCAGGAGTTGGACGTTGCTGTGAGCTGTGATGCCATTGCACTCTATCCAGGGGGACAGCTTGAGGCTCTGTCTCAAAAAAAAAAAGAATTCACTTTTTAAAACTGCTGGACACTGGTGCCTGTGGCTCAGTGAGTAGGGCACTGGCCCCATATACCGAAGGTGGCAGGTTTGAACCCAGCCCCAGCCAAACTGCAACAAAAAAAATAACTGGGTGTTGTGGTGGGTGCCTGTAGTCCCAGCTACTCGGGAGACTGAGGCAAGAGAATCATCTAAGCCCAAGAGCTGGAGGTTGCTGTGAGCTGTGATGCTATAGCACTCTACTGAGGGTGACAAAGTAAGACTCTGTCTCTAAGAAAAACAAAAAACCAAAAAAACTGCTGGGCCCTAATACTTTAAAAACAAGCTTTTCTCAAGTGACCCTCCCATTAGGAAGGCAATAACCCATGCAATCCTCTAAGGCAGTGGTTCTCAACCTGTGGGTCGTGACCCACAGGAACTATATTAAAAGGTCGCGGCATTAGGAAGGTTGAGAACCACTGCTCTAAGAACCACTGCTTCAATGCACCTTCATATTGAAAAGAATCCTTTTGGAATCCTTTTGCAAAACTAGTGATCATATTTAGTTTATAGAGTTGTATGCTCAGATTTTGGAAACTAAAATTACTTCTGATTTTTACGTATAGAGGTAAAATCAAATAGAGCTAAATATGTCACACAAAAAATGAGCAGTCCTCTGCAAATTGCCATCCACCTATCCCTCCCCTACCCAGAAGAAGCCACATTCAATTCTTCCTGGCTCAGCAATTTTCTGGTACTTGTGTGGAGTCAGAGCTGAAGCCCACAAGCCACAAGGCTTCAGTGAAAACACTCCTAAGCCCTCTTAATACTGAGGGGCACAGCTAGGCTGAGTTGGCATGAGGCAAGGAGATCTGGTTATCAGCAGATTCAGCAAATGTTGAAAGAATACCCCCATGTGTGGGGAACCATAAAAGACAACTTCATCAGATTCCCTGAATGGTGATATTGAGCTAGATAAGGCTATGGTCTTAAAACCAGTGAAGAAGGGAGGTGGGATGGGGCAGAGGTTTCCTATGACATAATCATATGCTAATCCATGCTTGGAAGATGTCCAAGGCCAGAGTCCCAACAGCAATCATATCAAATGCTTCTGTGTATGTGTATGTGTGTGACCTACTTGTGCAGGTTTTTTCATCTGGGTTAAGAGCAAATCCTTCACGGCACCGGCAGGAGTAGGAACCATCAGCATTTACACACTCATGTTCACATCCATGGTTTTCTGAAGCACAGTAGTCCACAGCTGTAGAAAATATAACATATTCAGTTTAATCAGAAATGTAAACAGAGAAAGGCAGAATGGAAGTATACTTATAATAAATATAAATAAGTATTAATATTATTGCTCCAGGGCAGCATCTGAGGCTCAGTGGGTAGGGCGCCAGCCCCATATACCAAGGGTGGCGGGTTTGAACCCAGACCTGGCCAGCTAAAAAGCAATGACAACTGCAACAACAACAACAACAAAAATCTGGGCATTGTGGCGGGCAGCTGTTATACTCAGAAGGCTGAGGGAAGAGAATCACTTAAGCCCAAGAGTTTGAGGTTGCCGTGAGCTGTGACATCACGCACTCTACAAGGGTGACAAAGTGAGACTCTGTCTCAAAAAAAAAAATATTGTTGCTCCAAGAAGTATATGGAGGCCAAGTGCAGTGGCTCACGCCTATAACTCCAGCACACTGGAAGGCTGTGGCAGGTGGATCGCCTGAGCTGCTCAGGAGTTCGAGATCAGCCTGAGCAAACAAGAGACGTCTGTCTCTACTAAAAACAGAAAAACTAGCTGGGTGTTGTGGCAGGTGCCTATAGTCCCAGCTACCTGGGAGGCTGAGGCAAGAGGATTACTCAGGCCCAAGAGTTTGAGGTTGCTGTGAGCTATGATGATGCCATGGCACTCTAGACAGGGTGACAGAGTGAGACTCTATCTCAAAAAAAAAAAAAAAAATTAGAAAAAAGCGTATGAATTAAAAACTATGGATCTAAGGCTCGGTGCCAGTAGCACAGTGATTATAGTACCAGCCACATACACGGAGGGTGGCAGGTTTGAGCCTGGCCCAGGCCAGCTAAGCAACAATGACAACTGCAACAAAAAATGGCCAGGCATTGTGGCGGGCACCTGTAGTCCCAGCTACTTGGGAGGTTGAGGCAAGAGAATTGCTTAAGCCCAAGAGTTGGAGGTTGCTGTGAGCTGTGACACCATGGCACTCCATCCAGGGCAACATAGTGAGACTTTGCCTCAAAAAAAAAAATTTAATTTAATTTAAAAAATATGGATCTAAGACCTTCTTTTTCTTATTCCTGCCAAAAAAGATATCAGGAGTCTATATCAGGCAATTCATATCTGAAGATCAAAAGCTTATGACAATTGTAGTTAAAAGATAAAGAAGAGGGGCGGCGCCTGTGGCTCAAAGGAGTAGGGCGCAGGCCCCATATACAGGAGGTGGTGGTTTCAAACCCAGCCCTGGCCAAAAACTGCAAAAAAAAAAAAAAAAGAAGAAGAAGGACAAATCACACATACCTATAAAACTGGCAGAAATAAAGATGAAGTAAAACCCAGGGGTGGCAAAACAGCATAGACACAGTTATTAATGGTGAGTGACATTATAAATTGACAAAAATCCTTACGTAAGGCAATTTGACGAAGTTTATGATGGAAACATGACCCAAAGAAATGACTGACATGGGCGTGAAATTAACTATATGCAGTAAGCTATTAATAGGAGCGCTGTTTAACATGATTTTTAAAAGGTCTAGAAAATGAGATGAACAGTTAATAAGGATAAATAGATTAGTAACTTATCCAGTGTGAGAAAACACACTGGCTGATTCCTCATTAATTCCACAAATATTAACTGAGTGCCTAGTATGGTCTAGACTCTAGGCCCTGTTTTGGGTTCCAGGGATAAAGCAAATAACAAAATAGACAAAAATTGTGGCTCTCAAGGAGCTTATGTTCGGGTGGTGATGGTGGGAGTGGGGAATAAACAAAAGATAAAATATGTAAGTACACAGCATAGTCTATTAGAAGACAAAGAGTGCTCTGGAGGAAAACAAGACCAGGAACAGGATAGGGCCTGTGGGGGTGAGTGTGTTGTAATGGGCGTGGTGAGGAAAGCCTTTCTGTGAAGATGCAGTTGGGGGGAGTGTTGAAGGAGGAGGTACGAGCCGTGATGGTACCTGGGAGACGGCATCGTAGCAAAAGGAACAGCAAATGCAAAGGCCAGGAGGTGGGAGATACATGCCTGGTGAGCTAGAGGACCAGCAAAGAGGCCAGGGTGGCTAGAGCAGGGAGAGGAGTGGGACAGGAGAATGGTGCAGTCAGGAGGGACTGTGGGCCACTGCAAGGACCTTGGCTTTTTCTTGGACCTGAGGGTTGCTGGTGGTGAACCAAGGTGTTAAGAATAGCCTGTACAGGGCAAATGTGATGGTAGAAAACCAGTTAGGGGCTACTCCAATAATCCCACCCTTAAGCGAGGATGGGGTGGGAAGAAGTGGTGTTTTGGGAATTATGGGTTGAATTGTTTGCCCAATAAGATCTGTTGGAGTGCTAACCCCTGCTACTGCGAAAGTAGCCTTATTGGGAAATAGGGTCTTTGCAGAAGTAATAAAGTTAAGATGCAATCGTTCGGGTGGGCTCTAGCCCACTCTGACTGGTGTCCTTATGAGAGGAGAAGGCCATGTGAAGACAGCCACAGGGGGAGAGCACCAGATGAAGACAGACGCAGGGACCGGAGTGACGCAGCTGGACTGGAGGAACATCAAGTTTCCACAGCCACCGCCAGATGTTAGGGAGAGGCAAGGACTCTCCCTGCCAGTCTCATAGGCAGCCCAGCTCAGCCCGCACCTTGATTTTGGACTTTTAGCTGCCAGATTAAAAAAATTTCCAGTTTTTTAAGTCACCCAGTCTGTGGCACTTTGTTATGACAGCCCTAGCAGACTAATATATCCGGTACGTGTGTCCACATGGAGCTGGTAGATTCCCATTGGATTAGCGCTGAGGCAAGAGAAAAAGAGACCAATTCAAGCTAATCCCAGGGATTTTGGTGTAAGCAACTGATCTGGGATGGGGCAGGTGCAAGAGAAGCAGGTTTCACAGGAGAACATCAGGAGCTCCAGTTTGAGAATTAGGCAGTCACTAATTTGTCCATTATAATGATACAATTGTAAATAGAAAGGCAAAATTTGGTGGAACAAAGTAGGTCTAAATTATATATTCACAGTGGTTATATCTATGTAAAATATAGCTCTGAGGCAAAGCCTGGAAATTAGAAATAAAAATGCTTGTTTATTAAGGTAGTAGGAGTATGGATTTTTTTTTCTTTAAAAATCCTTCACTCTAGGGTGGCACCTGTGGCTCAAGGAGTAGGGCGCCAGCCCCATATACTGGACATGGCGGGTTCAAACCCAGCCCCAGCTTAAAACTGCAAAAAAAAAAAAAAAAAAAATCCTTCACTCTAGATAAGACATAGGGCTGACAAACATATGAAAAATGCTCATCATCCCTAATCATCAGAGAAATGCAAATTAAAACCACCCTGAGATACCACCTAACCCCAGAAAGATTAGCCCATATCACAAAGTCCCAAAGTAGCTGACGTGGATGTGGAGAGAGGGGAATACTTTTACACTGTTGGTGGGACTGCAAATAAATACAGCCTCTTTAGAAAGAAATATAGGGCTCGGCGCCTATAGCTCAACCGGCTAAGGCGCCAGCCACGTACACCTAAGGTGGCGGGTTCGAATCCCCAGCCCGGACCCGCCAAACAACAATGACGGCTGCAACCAAAAAACAGCCGGGCGTTGTGGCGGGCGCCTGTGGTCCCAGCTACTTGGGAGGCGGAGGCAAGAGACTCGCTTGAGCCCAGGAGTTGGAGATTGCTGTGAGCTGTAATGCCACGGCACTCTGCCCAGGGGGACAGCTTGAGGCTCTGTCTCAAAAAAAAAAAAAAAAAAAAGAAAGAAATATAGACAATCCTCAAAGAATTCAAATTAGACCTCCTATTTGACCCCCATAATCCCACTACTAGGCATCTATGCAGAATAATAAAATCATTTCATTAAGACATTTGCACTAGATTGTTTATCATAGCTCAATTTACAATCACCAAGATGTGGAAACAACCTAAATGCCCATCATCTCAGGAATGGATTAACAAACTATGGTTATATGTATACCATGGAATACTATTCAGACGTAAAAAAAGATGGTGACTTTTCATCTTTTATATTAACCTGGATGGAGTTGAAACACATTCTTCTTATAAAGTATAACAAGAATGGGAAAGCAAATATTCAATGTACTCAATACAAATATGAAGCCAGTAGATGATCTAATTCATGCCCACATCGGAGTAAAACGCATTTCTTTTCTTTTTTTTTTTTTTTTTTTTGAGACAGAGCCTCAAGCTATTCCCCTGGGTAGAATGCTATGGCATCACAGCTCATAGCAACCTCCAACTCCTGGGCTCAAGCGAGTCTCCTGTCTCTGCCTCCCAAGTAGCTGGGACCACAGGCGCCCACCACAATGCCTGGCTATTTTTTGGTTGCAGCCATGACTGTTGTTTGGCGGGCCCGGGCTGGATTTGAACCCGCCACCTTAGGTGTATGTGGCTGGCACCTTAGCCACTTGAGCCACAGGCACCGAGCCAGTAAAACGCATTTCAATTCAACTTGGGGGGAGGAGGAACAAGAGAGAGGGAAGAGAGGAGGAGGGGCTGTTTGACGTGCTCCCACTTAATGAGCACGAAATAGGTGTGATCAGAAGGATTCCCCTATATCGCGCTGGCCCGGTATTCAGACTGGAGAGAGGTTGGAGGCTCTGCTTAGGCCTTTTTGAGTCTAAGTCACATTCTCTAAACTCTCCTTTTTCCAGAATACTATAGAGTATCTAGTGTTGGCCCAGTTGTTTATAAAAAGCTGTACAGGCTCGGCGCCTGTGGCTCAAGCGGCTAAGGCGCCAGCCACATACACCTAAGGTGGCAGGTTCGAATCCCCAGCTCAGATCCCTCAGATCAATCCCTCAGATCCCTCAGATCCCTCAGATCAATCCCTCAGATCAATCAACGCTTTCATTCCCTCTAACAGTAGGAGGCCTGATGCCCAGAGGATGCTAAATGCTCAAGACAGGTGGAACACTGGGTTTTAGAACACTTGCCCACATCTCTCACTCGCTGGGCTGTGTGCTTATCAAGCAGTCTTGGAGGAAAATCTGTGCTCTCCTTCCACTGACTGAGTCGGATGGTTATA